CCGCAAGTACTGTCAGGCTCTGAGTTCACTGATGTCCTTTTGCACCTCCAGGTCTGACACGTGGCGCCTGGCCAACCCCCCAGCACGGCCTCATCTTGAGAACTCCCCTAAAGGCCCCTCTGCAGTCCACAGTGGGCAGAAGGTGGCAGCCATGGCAACCAGGATCTCTGCCCGTGTGGAAGGTGGCTACCACAGGAACCGCAGCATTTTCTGTACCATCCTGTAAGGATGGAGAACTGGCCCAGCTCAGGCCCAGGCCTAGGAGGACAGGCGGGCAGGAGGCGCTGCTGTTGGAGGACTCCAGGGATGGCAGCCGTAGTCCCTGCTCTCAGGCCCAGGCCTTGACAGGTGCTCGGAAGAGCCAGGAGGTGAGGGCCTTCAGGATAGACGTAGTAGTGCCCGAGAGAACTCCAGGCCTGTCACCCTCCTCCTCTTCCTCCCCGCCCTCCTCTTCCTCTTCCCCTCCCTCCTCCTCCTCCTCTTCTCTGTCCTCCACCATGTGAAAAAACAGGCTCCCAGGTTTCCTGGAAACAAAGAACAAGGTACATCCAAGGCTCTTCCCCTCCACATCCTGCAACAGGAAGGAACTTGGAAATGCATTTCAAAGAATAAAAAGACAAAAATTGGTGGGATACCAGCCACGGCAGCTCTTGTGGTTCTCGACGGTCAGGGAAACTGTGACGAGAGGCTTTGGTCTGTCTTCTGCTTGGGTTACAGGGAGCCCACCTCTTACACCAAATACAGACTTGGGCGCGGGAAGAGCAGGCTGACTCCCGAGCGACAGGAGTTGTTCTGCCGGCGTGGGAAGAGCCAGCTGCCTTTGGATATTCCCTCCCTAGACATCTCTCGATCCCATCAGGGACACCACCACGCCTCCCAGCTGCCTGTGGGGCTGGGCGTTGGGTTTTGTTTACATAAGGAGAAGGTTTTTGTGGACTTGGACCTGTGAGAGGTGAGGGGCTTAGGCAGAGAACCCCTGTGGAAAGGCTGCCCCAGTGATGAGAACACATGCCGTGAACAGGAGGGGTGCTTGGGGGACAGCTTCCTTCAGGTGGCTCAGGAGTGCAGGCAGACGGAGGCTGGACAGGTGCCGGGACACCTCCAGGTACAGCCACTCAGGAGGCCAGCCGCAGAGGTTTCACATCCTGTGAGTGCTCCCGCACCAGCTGCGCCTGCTGGGTACCAGGGACTAGTACCCTGGGATGAGGTGGCCGTGCCTCCTGTCCCTCGGATGGATCCGTTCCCCGTGGATAAGCACCTGCCTTTACTGCTCCTGCCGTGTTTCCCACTCTGCCTGGGCTCGTGCGCTTCCTCTGTCCCAGCATGCCCTTGTCCACGTCTCCACACAGCACCCCTCTCCCTCCAGGTGACAATGCTCTTCTCCTTCCTCTGCTTCCTCCGAGAACTGGGCGCTGTCTGCCTTGTTGGGGAGCTACCCAGGTCATACCTGGTCCTGTGCACATGCCTGTGAGTGCCCCAAGGTTAGAGTAGGGCCATGCCCAGGGCTGGGGCAGGGTTAGTGTCCTGAGTGAGGAGAGGAAGGCCAGCTCCCAAAGGGCTTTACTGAACCACGACATGAATGTGTTGGGGTTCCAGAGCCAGGGGGGCTCAGACTCCAGTGCTTTGAGAAGGTGGGCCGGAGGCAGGACTGGCTCGGTCCGCACACTCCCCCTGCCGTTCAGCCTTCCATGCAGGGTCCTCGCCAGCCCCTGGGTGTCACTGTCATACGTCTCGCCTATAGTGTCCCAGGCTGGTCCTGTCAGGCCCTCGGTGCTGCTCTGCTGGGTGGACCAGGAGGGGAGTAGGGAAGCCAGGAACACTACTTTTCCCTCTCTATGGGCCTTGGGCCCAACAATGTTGACCCCACCTGTCCCCAGCACTGCCCTTGTTTGGTGGCCCCAATGTGAGTCGCTGTACAAAACGTTGCCTTTAATATTCTGTAAGAAATTACTTTTGTGTGAATCGAGTGCTTAAGAAAATCTCAGTAACCAAATAAAATACTCTATTTTATGAGGCATTGGTGGGGTTTCCTTGGTCAGGGTGCTGAGTGCATCACACAGCCATCTCCAGGCACCACTGCTTCCTCTGAAGGGGACAGGCCAGTCCTGGACCAGCCTGCCAATTGGGCTTGTTCCCACGATACGCATGATTCAAAGCTGGAAGGGCAGCATTTCTCAGGGTTGTGGTGTCAGTGAGGTCATGAGGCCAATACACCTGCCCCCTGACGCTCTGGGAGGATCAGTATCTGGAAATTGCTCGCTGGTTTTTCTACAGCCACTGGTTACAGAAAAGTTCTTACTAGATCATACACACTATAGAACTTACAGGTGAAAAGGTATGATGCCCACAATTAATCTTAAATGGTTCCAAAAATATATGTAAGGCAACTAACAAAGAAATAAGACAAAGTAAACCAGGAAACCTGGGGGAAAGGTGTACAGTTCTTTGTACGGCTGCAGTTTTTCTCCAAATGTGAAATTTTATCAGTATTTCTTAATGCCATCTAATTAGCTATTTCCAGGTTAGGGTCCTGGGCAAATGCTAAGTGTCCAATGGGTCAGGGCTGTAGCAGAGCCTTCCGGCCAGTGAGCAACCCCACAGGTGATAGTCAAACAAACTACAGATCTTATTACGGACACGTGAATGCAGCCCCGTCTCCCGTAGCAAGGTTCTCGGGAGATGTTCTGGCAAACAACGTGATGAGATCCAGGCGTCTTCCCTGAGTATGTTGGTAAATAAATGGGTTCTTAGAGCTAGGAGAAACCTAGCATGCTCCCGTTACCCTACATGATTACTGCTAATCCCTGACCAAGGAGAGAAAGTGCAGTTCCTTAATGGCTCACTTGACAGACGCCAACCACTTTCATATCAGGCACTATGCTTAGTGGTCTCAGGACATGTTCACGTTGGGGACATGTTCACGTTGAACAGGGCCCTGTTTTGTGCATTTCCTAAGGGTACAAAACTCCTGCCATGTAGAATTTAATTTTCAGTCAGCCAATACAACCCCTTGGTGTGAGTGTCTAAAGAGCGGCCAAGGTTGTCCGGGGGCCTGCTCACACGCCATGGCCCAGTGACTCCTGGATATTAAGCCTCAAAAGTGTGAAACCCATCAGCGTCTACAAGGTATTCATGAGAACACATTCCAGCCTATAACCCATCAGCATCTACAAGGTATTCATGACAGCACATTCCAGCCTATAACCCATCAGCGTCTACAAGGTATTCATGAGAGCACATTCCAGCCTATAAGCACACGAGGGGTCCTTTCCCCAAAGACAGATCAGAATCCTCTTCTCCAACACCAAGTCACGTACTTCATTTTCCTAGCAGTTTACAGTTGGACTTCCTGTCCACACCTCTGCCAGAGGGAGAAAACCTGTCACACGTGCCCCTTCCAGGCTCAGAGACAAATGGAGAGCATGGCAGACGGCCAGGCACACGCTCTGTGACAACAGCATCCCACAGCTCGAGTGTGCTGCTCACCCACACTCTTCCAAGACCCTGACCTATGGCCCAGCTGCCCTGTAAACGTCCTACTATCCCATTTTCAGAGCTGAATTAAGGGAAAGGGCTCCCCAGCCTCACCTGCAAAGCTGTGAAGATGTGAGGCCTAAGTCTGTGTCCTGTTCCTGGTCCTCACACTAAATGGATTTCTCCCTCTTGCAGTGGCAGACAGTATCCATCCCAATGACCTCCTACTATGCCTACAATTACAGAGGCTGGAGAAATGAAGCCAAATTCTAGCTGCAAATTAGGTTCCTACAATGAGAAGGAAGAGGGAGGCCGGCATCCTGGTCTCTGACTGTGGCCGAGCAAGGCAGTGGGGGAGTAGGTGTCCAGGCCATCTGGTATTTTTATAGCACTGTGTCCAAGGTAAATCCCTTTCTTCGTTAGAAGAGCTTATGTTCTCTGTACTCAACTTTGGTGTATGACCCAAGTGTGGCTTTCAGGGTTGACCCCAGCCCTCTACACAGAGCAACTGGAGTAGTCATTTCCTTTGATTTGGCTCTACCTGCTAAGGTAGCCTCAAACTAAATTAGCCTGTGTGGGCAACCCTATCTGTGGTAGTTCAGTTTGTGTGTCAACTTGGCTGGGCCTGGTTGAGTGGCTGGCAGCTGTAGTATCCCCCATGATGAGACTGGTAATCAACTGTGAGCAGCTGAGTAGCTGACTTTGGGAATGCGGTCCACTTCCTGTATTTAAGGAGAAGCCTTGGGAATGGTCTCTAGCTTGTGGCACGCTTGGACCCTGCATGTAACCATGTCGTTGTTCAGCAGCCTGCCATGCTCTACCGACCTTGGACTTAAGTTAATGGCCTGCCATGTGGTTTGGTAACATCAGGACTGTGCCTTTTTACTTGTCAACCTTGGGTCTGTCAGCCTCAGCAGCCAGCAGCTGTCTGAGTGAAGAAACACCTCTAGCTCCAGTGGGCCGGGAGCAGGAAGCAGAGCTGGACCCCACGGTTGAGGGGCTTTCACCCAGCCCCTAGAGCCTGGCACTTTGAAGCTGGACTTAAAGCCCCCAAACTGTGAGAGAATAAACTCCTGTTTGTTAAGGCCGTCCCATTTGTGGTATATTCTTGCCAGAGTGGCACAGGTAATCAGGTAACCAGAACACTATCCCACTGGCGACCCACAGGCCAGTGTGAAAGCCTGCAGCCTCCTCCCCCAGCCCTGCTAGGCTCCGCCGCCCATGTCACTGTGTACTCTGCTGGTCTTTCCGGAGCTAAGCATGCATTTCACATTTCTCTTTAGAAACCTTCACCCCTCGGCTTTGGCCCAGGGTCCAGACCGGAGAGATCTTTGGATTCCAACTTCCCCAGGTCTGACCTTCCCAAACCCACTATGAACCAGCACGAGTCGCACACACATTACAATGAAGCCACACCAAAGGAGGGAGCGGACTCCAACGCGGTCATTCTGTATTTCTGAACAAAGTGCGACTGAGGTCCTGCCTTCTGGCTTCATACCTGCACCAAAGCAGGGCTCCTTTTTTCCTTCCTTTTTAAAAATAAAAGTAGAAATGAGCAGATGCAGTGGCCGTGAGGTGGCCGCAATGCTGTGGGGACAGCAGGTAGCTAGGTGACTCTCCTCCGCTTCGCCTGGTGGTCTGAGGTCTGGGCTGGAGGCAGCGGGACGGACAGAGTGCCCAGTCGGTGGTCTTCCTCCCCACCAGCTGCCACAGACACCCTACTTTTCGAGATCTTCAGCCTCATGGCTCTCGCTATCTCAATTATCCTAAGAAACGAACAGAACAAAGGAGAGACACCCTCACCACGAAAGCTCAGGGAAGCTCGGCAGGAGGGATGGTAGACTTCTGCTCGGACGCCTCTGGCAGAGGTCGACAAGAGCTCCCTCTGAGCCATCAGCTGGCCAGTCCCGTTTTAATGGGTCACAATTAGAGAATACAGGTGTTGAAAAACCAGGCTATTGAAATCCCTGTGAGTAACTTTCTTGGCTTCCTATAACCAAGCTATAAAAGCACCCAGGATCAAGCACTTGCTACAACTTTACAGACTGCAAGGGTCTTTTCTCTTATTTTTTAACCTCAAAGACTGAAAATGCCATTTGTAGATGACCCTCAGAAGAAACATTCCAGGGGGATTATGCCTCATATGCATGTGAGAGCTGAACAATGAATAAGCAGATCGAAGAAGAGTCAATGCTTTTGAGCTGTGGTGTTGGCGAAGGATGCCTAAAGTACCATGGGCTGCTGAAAGAACAGATCTGTCCTGGAAGAAGTGCCGCCGGAACGCTCCTTGGAAGCGAGAATGGGCAGACTTCGTCTCATCTACTTTGGTCATGTTGTAAGAAGAGACCATTCCCTAGAGGAGGATATCATCTTTGGTAAAGTAGAAGGTCAATGAAGGAAGGAAAGGCCCTCAACAAGATGGATTGACACAGTGGCTGCAATGATGGGCTCAGGTATAGCAAGGATCATGAGGCTGCCACAGGACTGGGCAGTGTTTTGTTCTGTTGTACATGGGGTCGCTTTGAGCTGGAGACAACTCGATGGCACCTAACAACATGGGGTTACTGTAAGAGACTGGACAAGAGTGTTTTCACAGGCTCTCCTGGAACACCATCAGGGTCCCTTGGACATCAGATGCTCCTAAGTTACCAACTAAGACCAAGTGATCCCACAGTTCAGGACCCTGGGGAGTTCTGCCCCCTACTCATTCTGAACCGCTGCTAAGAGAGCTAGAGGGAGCTATAACCTCCATCAACCCTCCCAGCCTGATCAGGGAAGCCCGGATGTGGCATCCCTGCCGACAACAGCTCCAGGATGCTTGAACACACACCTGGCAGCCCCTTCCACCTGACCTGAACCTGAGCTTTCCTACAACTTCTCATGGTTCCAGAGAATTCCCTCCCCAGCGATGGAATCAGAGAAAGGAGGATCCTCAGGTACAAAGAAACGACGCTGTGGGAAATCCAACTACTGCTCTGGCTGCTCTGTGACCATGCAGAAGTCATTTCCTCTGAACCGTGGATTCCTCCACTGGTTTCCAGGGGAATCAGTGCGCTAACACGTCAGAATCTCCTGCTGTGCCCAGTGGAGAGAAGAGACTCAGGACCATTTAGCTGCTCATTCCTTTACTCCCTTAGTCACTAAAAACTGAAATCTTTTGATTCCAACCTCCCCAGGCCCCACTTTCCCAAACCCCGGCCCCAAGTCTTTCCCATAAGAAACACCCGATGGTGCCTGTATTTCTAGTGGACCTAGGAATATATCATACTAATCAGCCACACTACTCAACCTTTCTGTCCATTACCTGGGAAAACTTCTTAAAATGAGGGAAAGAATGCAATCCACAGATCCGAGCAGAGGCCCAGTCGCGGTCCTGCAGCTGCAATGAGGCCCCCGGGAGGCTGTGTGCTGTCATGCTCACCTTTTCTCACTGAGCTTCAAGTCCCTCTGTAACACCGTCAGGTCGACCTGGAAGTCACTGATATGCAAGGCGAGTACAATCGCGTACGCAGTAATCTTCGCCTTCATTGAATCTGAGATGACGTTCCGTAAACTGTGGCATCAGTGACAGTAAAGAAACACAAGATTAAACCCTAAGGCAACTTCTCCCACAGCAGAAACCCCTAATCCTGCTCTCACATGCACCCATGTCTTCCCGTCTTGGGAAAAGAGAGGAGGAATTCAGGCACGTTCCCAGTCCCTTTAAAGGTGCCCAAACCTTCACACAGGAAGCTCTGGTGATGCAGCAGTTAAAGCATTCAGCTGCTAACCAAAAGATCAGCCATTTGAACCCACTGGCCGCTCTGTGGGAGAAAGATGAGGCAATCTGCTTCCGTAAAGACTTGGAAACTCTATGAGGCAGTTCTACTCTATCCTATTGGGTTGCTTTAGTTGGAAATGACTCGACGGCAGTGGTTGTGGTTGTGGTCTGGTTTGGGTGGAGCTTGCCCAGTCAATCAGTGAGCCAATCCCAGTATTTGCCTCCAAGTGGGACAGAGAAAGCCATGCCTACACTTTTCCCAGGCACAATCAGAGCTGCTCACTGGTGAGGACCCTCTGAGTCTCCGTCTCTTGTCTGCTCAGCAGGGCTGCTGGGACACAGTCATCCCACAGATAGCTGCTGCTGATTCTCCCAAGCACGTGCAGGGGCAGGTGGCACGCGCAGGAGCGGGTGGGGGCACGTGCAGGAGGAGGCTGCACACACCGGAGTGGGTGACAACCCCGGTCTGTGCAGGAGCGGGAGACATGCCCAGGGCAAATGTCAGGAAGGAAGCCCCAGGGTGCTTCTGGGTTTTTTTTCCTCAAAGCCATCACCTAACCTGCCCTTTTCCGCCACAGAGCCTTTCCGTAGGAAAGCAGCGTTCCTCAGAAAGAGCGTGGGATGTAAAGCCAGTCTTATAGGACTCTAGGGCTTCCACTATTCCAAAAATATAAATTTCTCCAAGGCAGAGAGTGTATAGGTGAGTGTTCCCTAAACTCGATCCCAGCCAGAACCCTTCCAAGTGGCAGTGCCCTCTTTGGCAGTGTCTCTCTGTGGACCTGGAATGGCAACCACGTCCCTACTCCCCAGTCCCACCCCTTGCCCCCGAGCTGCTTTCTCTTTCACGGGCAGAAACTCCAAGCTCAACTCCCCTGACCTGCCGTTGTTGTAAGTCAAGCAGGTGAAGTGCTTCAGGAGTTTGGTGTTGATGACGTGTGGAACTCCAGGTCCCAGGGCACCTGCAACACAAAGCTGAGTTTACTCATTCTCTCAGAACCCTCATCTGGGAGCCAGGAGCCAGAGAGCAACAGCTGGGCCCCTGTAATGAATACTGTAATGTGGTCAGAGAAGCATAAATGGCTGCTGTAAATTGACAATATATGCAGGTGTGCTTCAGCCTGCAGACCCTACATTCATCAGGGATGTCCGTGATGGCACAGGGGCAAGGAAGAAAAACAGACTCAAATGGTGCCTACAGACACAAAATTACTATGTTAGGAAGCAAACACCAAATAACACGGACGTAGACTCTTGGTCCCCAATCCATGTACACCTTGTGCCTGAAACCACAGATGTGTTCTGCTGGGTTTCCAACTCTGTGTGAGCCACCCATGGCCCCAGCTTTAGGCAGCACTAATGTTAGAAACTGACCCTCTACTCTCCCAGACACAACCCAAACCTGCTTCACAAGCAACCCACCAAACCTCCATAAGCAAGACCAATTTTTCTCTCCCTACATCACTGATGTCTGCAGAACAGTCCCTAATGTTTACACTCAATCTGACGCAGCTACTACACTTTGCTTAGGGCAGAACAGTGGTGAATGGTAGCTCTGCAAGGCCCTGAACAATCATTTAATCCAACTGTCTCCATTTTCAGGGTGCGAGAATGGGAGGCCAAGAAAGAGGGACGAGGTTGGCATGTCCTCATGGCACATCAGTGGTACAAATGGGAATCTCACTTTTACAGTTAAAAATAAAGACTTAGATATTCAAGCGGCCAACAAACATATGAAGAAATGCTCACGATCATTAGCTATTAGAGAGATGCAAATCAAAACAACAATGAGATACCATCTTGCTCCAGCACTAGTAGCAAAGTTCAACAAGACAGAAAATAACAAATGCTGGCGAGGTTGTGGAGAGATTGGGACTCTCATACACTGCTGGTGGGACTGTAAAATGGTACAACCATTGTGGAAAGCAGTATGGCGATTCCTTCAAAAGTTGGAAATACAAATACCATTTGACCCAGCCATCCCATTACTAGGTATATACCCTAAAGAAGTGAGAGCCATAACAAGAACAGATATATGCACGCCGATGTTCATCGCAGCACTATTTACAATAGCCAAAACTTGGAAACAACCTAGATGTCCAACAACTGAGGAATGGATAACCAAACTTTGGTACATTCACACAATGAAATACTATGCAACGCTAAAGAATAATGTAGAATCTGCAAAACACCGCATAACGTGGATGAACTTGGAGGACATTATGCTGAGCGAAATAAGTCAGTCACAAAAGGACAAATGTTGTATTAGTCCGTTATTGTGAAAGTTAAGGAAAGGTTTATATATTGGAGGACATTTTCTTTGTTGGTTACCAGGGGTGGGAGGGAAGGGGAGGGAATGCTGTTAGATAGATAGAGATAAATATTGATTTGGGTGAAGAGAAGGGCAATGTACCAAATGTGAGTGACCAATATGGCAGCATTGAGGATGAGAAAGACAGAGAGAGTTACATGGGCAGTACAAACAACAAATATGAACCCCTTTGTAAATACAATACTGAGTTGTCAATGAAAGCAAACATGGGTATAGGGACAGATAGATGGATGAACAAGCTAAACAATTATGTATGTCTAAATGGAGAGTGTATCCAAGATCATATACAGGGTTGGCAGACAATGGGCCTCTCGAAGAGTATGAAGGGATGGACACTGGGAGGAGGTAACTATGGGGAGGAAGTGGGAGGGGAGCTGCTGCATTGTAAATTTTGGTCAATGACATGAGACAAAGTATATGTGAGCTGCTGTATGAAAAGTGAATTTACTCTGTAAATCTTCACCCAAATCCTAATAAAAAAAAAATAAAGACTTAGACAAGTCATTTTTTTCTCCCATTAGGCTGATCTAAGATTTGTAAGTAAATAATGGACTGAAACATAATTAGACTAAAATGTTTGTCATGGGCTTACTTTTCCGCTTAATCACTTTCTGAGCTCGAAATTTGATGAGAGTATCCAGAAACCAAATGCACCGGGCCTGGCGGTCTCGGCTCTCCTCATTTGATGGCAAGGACTTCAGTGCTTCAATGACAAAGGAGCAGTGACTAAAACAAGGGAAGGAGGGAGGCGTCAGGTTAGGGTGGGCTCTGTCAAACCTTCACCCCTCACAGTGAGAACAGCAGGCATCTCACACCTGACACTCAACACTCCTGGCATGCTTTCCCGCAGGTGTCGGTGGAGGGCTAGAGAGTAAATGTGAGGCTTTGTGGGCCACACACACTGTCACAACTACTCGAGCCAGCTCTGGTTCCTGTCCCAACTCGCCACCCTTCTGCCCAGCCCCAGGTTCCATACACTAGAGACCAATGCTCTCCCTTGAATGGCACCGACAACCTTGGGATAAACATCCAAGGAGACACTGGCTCATTCGTGTTCAAATACTGAAGACACGCCTCCTCATTGACACCAAAGGTCCCGCTGACCGCTGCTGCATCCCAACACCACTCCCCCAGGTCCTCCACCTGCCCAAGTGGCTTTACCTGTTCTCTTCGACCATCTTCAGTATTTCTTCTGATGTGACATTCCTGAAAGCTTCAGAAGGGCTTCTCAGAGCTTCATACTCCACAGGGGAAAGAACTAGTTGCGAGTCAAGAACCCAGTCCTGGCAGAACAGAAACATCCAACTGGCTCTTTCCCCACCCCCATAACAGCTCCCCAAGTTTTGTTTTTCCTTTTTCATATACACTCAACCATTTGCTGTTGAGGCGGTCCTCTTCCCAGGACAGGAAAGTCTACTTTTCACATTTACAGTTCAAAGAACTTTCATACTCCTTCTTTATGTGAGCTGCACATGCCTCCCAGTAAGAAGCCAAGACTAGAATGACTGGCAGCATCTCAGTTGAGAAAGCACAGGCTTACAGATTAAACACCTGTCCCAGGCCACACAGTGAGTGAGTGGCAGAGCCTAAGTCCAAGTCCTCTGACGTCCAGTCCATGCTGAGCACTGAGTAGGCCCAAGCAGCCCCTGGGCCACTCTCTCTAGAGCACACATAACTCTTGGACAGCTGTTCCCTAGGTCACTCCTAGGCAGAGCTCCCAGAAACAGCACTGGGGCAGCTAAAAAGTTAGCACGTAGCTTTTGTGAATGTCACGGGACCGTGGACCCCCTCAGAGCCTAGCTGTGCCATTTACGTCAGAACTTCCCAACTTATGAAATGAGGCAGACTTTCTACTGCAGAAAGGATACGATCTTCAAATTTATACACATCTTCAGGCCTGGCTGCATCAGCATAGCAGGGAGGAAGGCAGACGGAGTCACCTTGCGAGTCATCATGGACGGCATCACTGATCAGAGCTTTGCAAGAGGGTGAATCAGTGTCAGTCCCACCCTGTGCGGCTTCAGGTGCTCCACACTCTGTGCAACCCTTGCACTCATGACCACTAGGTTCAGAACACCTCACCTGAAGGTTTCCACCAACCAGACCCAACCTCCCCATCAGACTGCTCCAGGACTACGATGTTCACTCAGGAAGCAAACATCAGCCAACGCTGCGTGGTCCCCACTCCAGTAACCCGCACTGTAGTTGGAAGAGACAGATCCCCTACTACACACTGACTAAACACTTACAATACAGTATGAGATGCTCAAAATGAGGGAGATTCAAAACAGCCTTTAATAGCTTAACTTCACGAACTTTCTCTACATATTGTAAATAGGGGAATAAAGGGCAGAATATACAATTGTAACCACATTACAAAAAAAAAAAACAGCATTAACAATTAAGTAAGCATATAGAAAGGGTGGAGGAAAACAGAAAAACTGTTATAGCTGGTCTGACAGGATGATGGGAATATGAGTAAATTATTTTTCTTTTTAAATATCCTTTAATACCTGGGAGTAAATTTAAAAAATGGAAAACTTTATTCAAATGTGTCTCTGAAGAAATGGAGAAGCCTACTTCTGTGTCCCTGAGGGGGAAAACGTTATACTGTAAAGATGCTGACTCTCCCAAATGAATCCCAATTGGCTTTTGAAGGAAACTGACAAATAATTAAGATCACCTCGAAGAAATAACATGCCACAAGTCAATACAACAAAAAACCCAATCCAACCCCGTCATCAAGTCGATTCCAACTCATAGTGACCCCACAGGACAGGGTGGCCCTGCCCCATTGGGTTTCCAAGGCTGTAAATCTTTACAAAAACAAACCGCTATGTCTTTTTCCCATGGAGTGGCTGGTAGGTTCGAACTACCAACCTTTTGGTTTGCAGCCAAGTGCTTTAACCATGGCACCACCAGGGCTCCTTATAGCTGATAAACCAAAAAAAACCAAACCCACCACTGTTGAGTTGATTCTGACTCATACCAACCCTGGAGGACAGAGCAGAACTGCCCCATTAAGGTTTCCAAGGCTATATAAATCTTCACGGAAGCAGACTGCCTCATTTCTCTCCCTCGGAGTGGCTGGTGGGTTCGAAAACACCAACCTTTGACAGTAGCTGGGCACCTAACCACCGTACCACCAGGGCTCCTTGTGAAAAATAAGGATAAAGAGGGAGGATGAATTTGTCTCATCAGACAATAAACCAGATGATAAGACCACTGTAATCCTAACAGGCTGGTAATGCTACCAATAACCCATCAGAGCAACAGTACAGAAGACATCTACGTATTTTATGAATACAGTCAAACAATAAAGATGACTTTTTAAATTACCTTTTACAAAAAGAAAAGATGGAGCTGGGAACAACTAGCTATTTGGAAAATATAAAATTAGATGTTATCTCATACCTTATGCCAAAAAAATTCTTTATGGAGTTAAAGTTGAAATGCAAAAATATAAAATCATGCACGCATTAAAAGAAAACCTGAGACGGTATTTATATAATCATAGGATGTGGAAATTTTTCCTAAAATTACTCAAATTCTATTCTTAACAGAAAAACTGCCCTGATATAAATTTTCTCGTGTTCTCATAATGCTTTTAACAATAAACACAGTCATACAATAAAATACTCAAGCTACCTAGGAAATCAGGACCAGAGAAAGTCCAGAGACACCCAGTGTGTCCACTGACATCAAAGTGAAATACCCAGTTCAATCATCATCACATCTATCCTCTTGTCACTCGCAGAACTAGGCCCCCTCACTCCTGTGCCCAAATTGAGCCCTGCAGACTGCAGCCCTGGCACCAAGAACCCAGCACTGCACATACCCATTCATCAGCCTGTCTCCTCTACTTGTCTATAAGCCCACTGAGGGCAGGGTCACCACTGAGGGTTCGTATTACTTCCAGAGGCCACCCTGACTAGGCCCTCAGTGACAAGCCAGAAGGAAGCCAGCCCCTAACTCCATCATCTCCCTCTGTGGCGAGGGTAAGAAATCTCAAAAGAAGAGAAAGCTGTCCTTATGGGCAGACTCTTAGCCCAAGTCCCCACCACTTACCAGTCACCCCCTTTGCATCAATGATATTCCCTGCAGCTTTAGCTACCGCAAGATTCAGAGATTCATTGCCAACTCTGTTCATTCTCCTGGAGTTGAGAGCTCTCTTCTGTTTGGTGGTACCAAAGGCCTCAATGCAAGAGTCCATCTGTGTAAGAGACGAATCTGGTTACTGGGGGCAGGCTTGGCACTGTTACTCCTAGCTGTGCAACACAGCAAACCTCTCCACCTCTCAGAGCATCATCATCTCACCTGTGACCAGGTGATGTTAACAGATTTGAAGTACTTGCTTTGTAAACTGTTAAGAGCTATTTACAAATCACTAACATCTGGTAGCACAGTGCCTAAGGCACTTGACTGCTAACCAGAAGGTTGGCGGTTCAAACCCACCAGCCACTCCTCAGAAGGAAGACTGGACATCTACTTCTGTAGAGATACTGCCTTGGAAACCCAAGAAGGGGTCACTATGAGTCAGAAACAACTCAACAGCAGTGGGTTTGGTTCTTAACATCTGTAAAATGAGAAGACCCAACCTGAACTGAGTCGGTCACCTGTGACAGTTTACTACTGTCCCATCCTACACCCTGACGGACACTGCCAACAGATGACATCACTCCCCCAGTCCCTGGTCTTGGAGAACCTCATACCCCTTCTTGGTATAGCACCCCAGGCAGCACTAGAATCCTCTGGGGCGAGATGACCTCTCTGGGAGCCTTTCACATTGAAAACCCTAATGTTTACTTTGTTTTAATGTGGAAGTTGCCAGGCTACAAGCAGTATTATTTGAGATTTGGAATAAATCCTAAACAGAAGTGTTGTACCCCACCTCTGTCAGCACTGACACCCAGGACGGGGGACCTCTCTCTGAGGCTGAGGAGACCAGTGCAGTCACACACTGTCCAGAGAACCACAGACTGAAGGAGCTGGGAGCAGGCAGGGAGACATGAGGCCAACCAACTCAGTGTTCCGACAGAGAAACTCAAGGCCTAGGAATGTGCTTGAGGTCACATACCTTAGTTCTGTCACACTTACCTTTTCTCTGTAGGTTTTGGTCTGACTCTGTGATGTCAGTGTATGCTCAACTGATTCATCTACCAAAACACAACGCAAACAAAACAGCCAACTGTGAGACCTACCAACAGCAAGGTGTTCAATAATTATTTGTTAACAGTTAATTAAGAAACACAGGCTTATTTAATACAGGGCTTCCGGAGCCTAAGATGACACTGTACTGTGAGTTTCTGGTTTGTAGTTTAAGTATAGCTAGAGAACTTGGAGAGGAAGTTAAGAAGTCAGATGAAGGGTCATCTAGTCCATCGTCATTTTACAAATAAGGCAAATGAGTCCTCTAGATGACATGGTCTGCCCCAGGTCTGTTCACTGAGCAGTGAACAGCTTTACCCTCCTTGTAAAACACCTGAAACAGGCATAAACATTGTCACCATGAATCAGAATCGACTCGATGGCTACTGATTTGGTTTGTTATATCCAGTACTTCCATGATGCACTCCAATCTCCCACAAAGGGGTAACACAATCCAGGAAACAAGAACATAAACTCTGGACCGACACTGCCCGAGTTAAATCCCAGCTCCTCTGTATATAGGCAGTTCCCAGGTTATGAACGTCCAACTTATGTACTACACATTGTTATGAACCAAACCCCCAAAAGCCTACTATATGAAAATTTTGAGGTACACACATTGGTTTATAATAACAAAAGGACACCACTTTGCAATACGCATCAAAACATTATTAATATTCTATCATTATGTTAAAGATGCTATAGTACCTGGAAGTGTTTCTTTAATGTTTTTTAAGTATAAAAAAGTACACTAGATACTGAAATAAACACTTAGCTCATGTTACATACGGACCTGTTTCAACTTACATACAGATTCACCTTAAAGACAGACTTAGGAATTGAATTCATTCGCCATGCAGGGACTGCTATGCACAAATATACATATATGTACAAACATGAAGTATGTCTCATGTCTCTGCTCAAGTCATTTCACCTCTGCCTTTCAGTCTCATCATGTGTAAAAAAGGAGCTACAGTACCTACCAATGGTTGTTACGTGAGATAAATGATGTAGTATATTGAAAGTGCTTAAATGACGTCCAGCTCATATTAACAACTGGACGTTGGAATGCATTCTTTCTCTCTCTCTCTCTCTATATATATATATATTATATATACATATTACATATATACACATACACATATACACACATCAAGATACAGACATCTGACTTATAGACAACTTCTACTTGCCCTTTAATGAAGGGCTTCACACAGGTTCTATCATAGCCGATGAATCAAACAGCAATAGACCAGAATTTTTACAACTTGGGTAATTCATCACAGTAACCAGAATGGGAAAAATTATGGGCAGAAATCCTAAAATGAGAGACATGAAAGAGGCATAAGCTCTATCAGGAACCTGATATATGAGATTAGATCGTCAGGACTGTGGAGAGCCACACACATTGAAAGTGGCACGTATGGCCATCATCTTTGACCAGGACACTGCCATCCCTGGAGCCCTACTTTAATGTTATATAAATCTGCCCTGACTTTGAAACGCTTAAATGAGGTTATTTCCCCTGGGTTACTGTTGTTAGGTGTGGCCATTGAAAATATCATGGCCTGGGTCAAGCACACCTTAGTCCTCAAGGCAACATCTTTGCTTTTGAACACTTCCAAGAGGCCTTTTGCAGCAGATTTGCCCAGTGCAGTACATCATTTGGTTTCATGACTGCTGCTTTCATGGGCATTAACTGCTGATCTAAGTAAAAGGAAATCCTTGACAACTTCAATCTTTTCTCCGTTTCCCATGATGTTACTTATTATTCCAGTTGTAAGGATTTTCATTTTATATTGAAGCGTACTCCACACTGGAGGCTGCAGTCTTTGATTTTCATCAGTAAGTGCTTCAAGTCCTCTTCACTTATGGTAAGTAAGGTGGTGTCATCTGCACACTGCAGGTTGTTAATAAGTCTTCTTCCAATTCTCATGCCACATTCTTCTTCATAGTCCAGCTTCTTGGATCACATGCTTGGCAGATTGAGTAAGTGTGGTGAACCAACCCCTACTACAACAAATTCATCATCACAATCACAATCACCTTCACCTGCTGCACGTGAAGGAAAATCACCATAAACCAATTATAACCAATTATCTAAAAATATTTTACATATAAAAAATTATTTAATCAACAAAGTAACAATTTTCCTTAAAATCACTGAAAAGGCTTTGAGGCTTTTCTTGCAATAAAGTAAGACCAAGTAAGAACCATATATACCCATTCTGACTGACCTATAAATTCTTAGACACAGGAACGGATCTCGTTTGTAAACCACAGACTGCCTCCATGCGTGTGCATATGCATGCACGAACCCACTGCCACAACCCTATACAACAGAGAACTGCCCCATAGGGTTTCTAACATTATAAATCTTTGTGGAAGAAGACTGGCTCATCTTTCTCCTGCAGACCAACTGGTGGGTTCAAAGTGCCAACCTTTTGGTTAAAATGCATTAACCACTGTGCCACCAGAGCTTTCATGTGTGTGTGTATATATGTATATATATAAACGTATATGTACACACACACACACACACGCACGTATATATATACATATGCCTACACACACAGACCAGAATGAAGAAAATATTGACGTTGTCAAGGATTTCATTTCATCTGGTTCCACAATCAGCACTCCAGGGAAGCAGCAGTCAAGAAATGAGACATATTGTATCGGGCAAATGTGCTATAAAAGCCGTGGTACTTTAAATGGCTTCATATGCATGTGAAAGCTGGACAACAAATAAGGAAGACTGAAGAAGAATTGATATTGTTAAATTATGGTGCTAGCAAAGAATACGAAATATACCATGGGCTGCTAGAATGAACAAGTCTGCCTTGGAAGAAGTAGTCAGAGTGCTCCTTAGCAGTGAGGATGGAGAGACTTCATCTCACGGACTTTGAACATGTTACCAGGAGGGACCAGTCCCTGGAGAAGGGCATCATGCTTGGTAAAGCCCAGGGTCAGCAAGAAAGAGGAAGCCCCTCCGTGAGATGGACACGGTGGCTGCAACAATGGGCTCAAACAGCAATACGGGTGAGGACAGCGCAAGACCAGAGAGTGTTCTGTTGTTCATACAGTCACTGTAAGTTGGAACCAACTCAATGACACCTAACAAGAAGCTTCTTGTTGTCGTTGTTGTTATGTGCCATCCAGTCGGACTCGACTCATAGCGGCCCCTCCTTGGGTTTCCGAGGCAGTATCACTACAGAAGTAGATTGCCCCATCTTCCTTCCGAGGAGTGGCTGGTGGGTTTGAACCGCCAGCCTTCTGGTTAGCAGTCAAAGTGCCTTAGGCACTACGCTACCAGAGCTCACAACAAGAAGCTAGAATAAACCAATTATCTAAAAATATTTTACATATAAAAACAAAAATTTTTTAATTGACAAAGTAACAATTTTCCACACTTCCTTGGAGTTTAGAAAAGCTTTTGGAGGTTGATTTAAAAGTAGAAATCAGCCACACTACTAAAAGTAGTACATGTGCAAAGCAGAGTTCTCCACTTAGAGACTACGGACTCAGGGAATTCATAGAAGGGCTTGAATCTCAACAAGTCCTCTAAACTGTGGGCAAAATCTCATATGCATGTACACTTCTGGGAAGATGATCCAAGTCATTATTAGATTCTCAAAAGGTGTGGAACCACTGCTTTGAGGGACGAAGGCAGAACTACGTAATGCTCCTGAAGGTATCAGGCAGCATCTAACGATTCTACCAATCCTTCCTCAGCTGACAAAGCCTCCCCCCCACACGGTTCTCAGTACTTAAGGGCATCACTAAGGACCCGAGTTTTGAGATTTAGGGAACAGGAGCCCCTTAAATCTGACCCTCTTATTTATCATTTCTGAAGATCCTATTCCAGCCCTGAGCATTTAAAATACCAAAAGAGAGAAGCAACACAGTGTCTCCCAAGAGATTAGGGGAAAAACAGATTCTCTCCCTCAAATCATACAGTGTGGAGACTTGCTACCAACATGAAAGTTACTGGACAGCTTTATAAGCAACTTCTATCACCTACCAGAGAGTCTTCAACCTTCCTCCCCAACCAGAACAGCAGAGTCCCTTGATGAGAACCAGTTTGCTACCAGACACGCTAATGCTCTGCTCTGATCACTGCACACCTTTACCTAAGATGAGCTTCTGATCTCAAGTCTGCACACACACTGTGGGGACAAGATGCACACCTGTCTTGTTTACTGCTACATCCATAGCACCTAGCTCGATGCCTGTATACAGAAGATCATCAATAAACATTTGCTGAAAGAAAAAACTGTAAAACTTTTTCAAATTATTATTATTATTTTTAAAATGACAGAAAGGTACCCATTTGAAAATAAATACTCAATGTGCTCTGAAATCAAAAGTTCACACCACCTCCTCTGGCAAAGCCCAAACACTGCACACAACATTCTGGGAGCCTTCATGACTAATGAGCCTTCATGACTATGACGTACCTGAGAACAATGGCTGCATGTTGAACAATTCGGCATCATACACCTCCATGTGGCCAGAGGTCTTGTTCAAAACGCCCACAAAATGCCTGAAAAAAGAAGGAATAACACCAGCAATAAGGAATTATTCAAACGATTATTTGATACTACACAAAAGTATCATTCCACACCCCACTTTGGTGAGTAGTGACTGGGATCTTAAAAGCTTGCAAATGGCCATCTAGATGCAACAATGGATCTCTCCTCATCCAGAGCAAAGAAAAATGAAGAAAACAAAGATTCATGGAAACAATCCAAGGGACTGGTGGACCATGTGGTCCTCGGCCTATATACCATGAGACCAGAAGAACTAGATGGTACCTGGCTACCACTGGCAATCATTCAGACTAGGGGTCTGTATAGGAGATCATGAACAGAGTGGGAGAACAATGTGGAACAAAACTCAAAATCATTAAAAAACAAACACAGGTTTGCTGGTCTGATTTAGCCTGGTGAAACCCCTCAGACTATGGCCCCTAGCTACCCTTCAGGTCTGGAATTGAATTCACTCCTGTAGCTTCCAGGCAAATAACAGACAGGTATATGGGATGAACATTTACATCAGGCAGATATACTCCTTGGAGAGATCAATCATGGGAGAACAGAAGGGCAGTGTATACACAGGGAGCTAGCTCAGGGAGCAGAAGCACATGGGAGGGAAGGACACAGGGAAGAGATAACTATGGAGAAGAAGTGGGAGGGGAGCTGTTGCATTGTAGGAAATTGCAGTCAATGTCATGAGACAGGATTTGTATGAAATGTTGTACGGAAAATTAATTTGCCCTGTACATTTTC